GACGTGGAAGAAAACTAAAAATTACCATTCAAATGGATAGAAGAATAACCAAAATGGCAAGGACTCAGCCAACAATCAGCTCCAGGAAGATCAAAGAAGGTCTAAACTTACCTGTGAGTACTATATATTTCTCAAAAGCAAAGCACACAAAAACACCCAGAAAAGTAGTCTACCTCCACCCTTGAAGGTTAAAAATACCAAAATCGTGATCTCCAACTCCTTGTGTAAGATGGATAATTACCCTCTATAACCACAGACAGGGCTAGGTATAAATCTCCTTAGTTGTAGAAATCCATCCAATATTAGGTCCAATAAAGTATTATATCTTCCATTCTCCTCATAAGAAAAACCAAGTTACATATGGTAGATTCAAATAAATGACAGGCTTTATTCAACAACTTACATTGCAGTAAGAGTAAAACAGCTCCTCCTCATCAAGATGTACAAGCAGACAGACTAGGGAACACTGGCCACATGTTCCCACTTCCAAGATCTGGGTAATTATCCATCTTACACAAGGAGTTGGAGATCACGGTTTTGGTTGGGGATGTGTGTTTGATCACTTATTTAAGTGCAGTGTCACTAAGTTGCAGTGTTATAAGTGTCACAGATTCACATAGTGGATGTGATATGTATATGTCTCACTGGTCATAGATTTGGTGACACAGAGACCTATAATAATATATATATGCTGATATTCATATAGAGAGTTAATATATTTATTTTTTTTTTGTTTTTTTTTGTGTTTTTGGAGTGTTTCACAAGTAGTGCATGGTGCACTGTTAAGGGCACGTGTGTTGTGATTTTTAAAAAGGTATGACACTATGTAAAGTTTTTTCTTTTTGAGGTATATGGGCATCAGAATATACGGGTGTTGAGAAAAAGAATTTTTTCGTGGAAAAGAAGAAAAAAAGAGACTTTATTGAACATTTGTTTATTGAATATTTGCTTATACAAGTGGGGTGTGTTTTGGGATTTAGGACTTTTTATTTTAAGAAAAGTTTTTATATATTATTACCTGTGAGTACTGTTACAATTAGAAGACGCCTATGTGAAGCCAAGCTATCTGCAAGAAGCCCCCACAAAGTCCCACTGTTGAAAAAAAAGACATGTGCTGAAGAGGTTACAATTTGCCAAAGAGCACATTGACTGGCCTAAAGAGAAATGGCCCAACATTTTGTGGACTGATGAAAGTAAGATTGTTCTTTTTGGGTCTAGTGGCCGGAGACAGTTTGTCAGACGACCCCCAAACACTGAATTTAAGCCACAGTACACTGTTAAGACAGTGAAGCATGGTTGCGCAAGCATCATGATATGGGGATGTTTCTCATACTACGGTGTTGGGCCTATTTATCGCATACCAGGGATCATGGATCAGTTTGAATACATCAGAATACTTGAAGAGGTTATGCTGCCTTATGCTGAAGAGGAAATGCCCTTGAAATGGGTGTTCCAACAAGACAACGACCACAAACACACCAGTAAACATGCACCATCTTGGTTCCAGACCAACAAGATTGACGTTATGGAGTGGCCAGCCCAATCCCCGGATCTTAATCCAATAGAAAACTTGTGGGGTGACATCAAAAATGCAGTTTCTGAGGCAAAACCAAGAAATAGAGAAGAACTGAGGAATGTAGTCCAATCATCCTGGGCTGGAATACCTGCTCACAGGTGCCAGAAGTTGGTTGACTCCATGCAACACAGATGTACAGCAGTTCTCAGAAACAGTGCTTATACAACTAAATATTAATTAAGTGATTCAAAGGAAAGCAAAATCTTCAAACATTTTTCAGTTTATATAGTGAATGTTTGAGTTTGTAAAGAAGAATACAAACACTGCTATTTTTTTGAACAGTCTAATATTCACTTTTCTTCAATTTTTTTAGAGGAACAACACAAATTTGATATATTTTTCTTCATGTTTTGATTTGGAATAGAATGTGTAGTGTTCCCAATGCATTTGTGTGTATGGAAATAAAAGCTATTATAGAAGGATTTTGAGCTTGATTCACTTTTTTCAACACACTGCTATTATTTTGAACACAACTGTATATAGATACCTAGTGCAATATAGGTCAAGCATAAATAATTGGTGATATAATCATGCCACTCAGGGATTCCCTATAGAGGTATATAGGACAATATCTAGGTGATAACTATGCATACAAGTGCAAAAAATGTAAATCAAAATCCACACCTTTTCTATTTTGTATAGAATGACAAATGGTTAAAACCTCTGGTGTTTACTAGGTTCTTCTTTCTATTTGTCCTGGTGTCTATTCTCAATGCAGCTGAAACAAGGGAAAATCCAAAATCTTAATTTCTTACCAGAACAACAATAAAGGGTATAAATTAACATGGGGGCATGAAGAGAAATCTACTAAACAGGGCATAGATGGTAAGAAAATCATTTATCCATTCCCTACTTTGCCCAAATTTAATACAATTTGCATCATTAAAACTGTGCAACTAAGCAAGCAACATGATAAACACAAAATCTCCATTGCTACTGCTAAACCAACTTTATTTCAGTGTATATCCAGTGATTTAAATAATCATAAACATTAAAAACTACCTAATGTTACTGTGAAATTACTTATGTAGCCCAAAACAATGAAAATAGTACCACTCAAATGCAACCCCAAACCTGTATCTGTTGGATCATCATGTGGATGGACCAGTGCGAGACTGTCAGGGCTCCCAGGTGTGACCAGAGATGTGTGACTGACGCAGGGAAACGCAGACCTCAGATATGTTATAAACAATATAATTTATTAACACTAACAATACAAACATAAATGCAGTGCAATACTAAAACATAATACAGTGCAAACAAACCAAACCACCCACAGATAACAGTACATACAAGCAAGCGTCGTCAGGCAGGCCGGGTCAATATCAATAGGGCAGGTAGGTACAGGGGGAGCAAGCGGAGATTGGTCAGGGTCACAAGCCAGGGATCAGAACAGGTAGCAAGCAGCGTGGTACAGAGGGTCAGACAGAGGGATGGTCAGGAGCAAGCCGGGATCAGAGCAGGAGAAGTCAGCAGCGGTTCAGAAACAGGATGCAGGACAGAAACAGGATACAGGGCCCAGGACAAACACACAGAGTCTGTGGGTCTGGCCATCCCTTAAATACCCCAGCATAATCAGTTACAGGTGTTAGCTGGCTGCAAAGTTGAGTCTCTGATTGCTGGGAACACCCGCTGGCCAGCCCTGGTACTGCAGATCAAAAGGCAGGTGAGTCCCACCATAGCTGGCCAGTCCATTCCTGACAGTACCCCCCCCCTCAAGGAGCGGCCTCAGGACGCTCCAAACAGTCCTAGCTGGGAAAAATGTTCCACCGCCCGGGTCTGGTAACTGGCGGGATATCAAAGACTGGCACACCGGGCAGGACTCCCGGGCAGCGGTACACCGGGGCAGAGGCACATCAGGCTGGACTCCGGGCAGAGGGCACATCGGGCTGGACTCCGGGCAGAGGCACGCCGGGAAGAGGCACACCGGGCAGAGGCACACCGGGCAGAGGCACACCGGGCTGGACTCCGGGCAGAGGCACATCGGGCAGAGGCACATCGGGCCGGACTCCGGGCAGAGGCGCATCGGGCCGGACTCCGGGCAGAGGCGCATCGGGCCGGACTCCGGGCAGAGGCGCATCGGGCAGGACTCCGGGCAGAGGCGCATCGGGCAGGACTCCGGGCAGAGGCGCATCGGGCAGGACTCCGGGCAGAGGCGCATCGGGCAGGACTCCGGGCAGAGGCGCATCGGGCAGGACTCCGGGCAGAGGCGCATCGGGCAGGACCCCGGGCAGAGGCGCATCGGGCAGGACCCCGGGCAGAGGCGCATCGGGCAGGACCCCGGGCAGAGGCGCATCGGGCAGGACCCCGGGCAGAGGCGCATCGGGCAGGACCCCGGGCAGAGGCGCATCGGGATACCAGGCGAAGCAGCAGGCACCGGGCCCCCGGGCGGGGCGACAGGCACCGGGCCCCCGGGCGGGGCGACAGGCCTCGGGCCCCCGGGCGGGGCGACAGGCCTCGGGCCCCCGGGCGGGGCGGCGGGCGCCGGACCCCCAGGCGGAACTACAGGTCTCGGGGAACTCAGGCGGAGCGGCGGGCGCCGGACCCCCAGAAGGAGCGACAGGTCTCGGGCCCTCAGGCGGAGCGACAGGCATCGGACCCCCAGGCGGGGCGACAGGCATCGGACCCCCAGGCGGGGCGACAGGCCTCGGACCCCCAGGCGGGGCGACAGGCCTCGGACCCCCAGGCGGGGCGACAGGCCTCGGGCCCCCAGGCGGGGCGACAGGCATCGGGCCCCCAGGCGGGGCGACAGGCATCGGGCCCCCAGGCGGAGCGGCGGGCGCCGGACCCCCATGCGGAGCGGCGGGCGCCGGACCCCCAGGCGGAGCTACAGGTCTCGGACCCTCAGGCGGAGCAACAGGTCTCGGCCCCCAGACGAAGCGGCGGGCTCCGAGTCACCAGGCACGACAGTGGGCACCGAGTCGTCTGGCAAGACTGCGGGCACCGAGTCAACTGGCGGAACAGCGGGCATCGAGTCAACTGGCGGAACAGCGGGCACCGAGTCGTCTGGCAAGACTGCGGGCACCGAGTCGTCTGGCAAGACTGCGGGCACCGAGTCGTCTGGCAAGACTGTGGGCATCGAGTCAACTGGCGGAACAGCGGGCACCGAGTCGTCTGGCAAGACTGCGGGCACCGAGTCGTCTGGCAAGACTGCGGGCACCGAGTCGTCTGGCAAGACTGCGGGCACCGAGTCGTCTGGCAAGACTGCGGGCACCGAGTCGACTGGCGGAACAGCGGGCACCGAGTCGTCTGGCAAGACTGCGGGCACCGAGTCAACTGGCGGAACAGCGGGCATCGAGTCAACTGGCGGGACTGCGGGCACCGAGTTGTCTGGCAAGACTGCGGGCACCGAGTCGTCTGGCAAGACTGCGGGCACCGAGTCGTCTGGCAAGACTGCGGGCACCGAGTCAACTGGCAAGACTGCGGGCACCGAGTCAACTGGCGGAACAGCGGGCATCGAGTCAACTGGCGGAACAGCAGGCACCGAGTCGTCTGGCAAGACTGCGGGCACCGAGTCGTCTGGGCAAGACTGCGGGCACCGAGTCGTCTGGCGGAACAGCGGGCATCGAGTCAACTGCGGGACTGCGGGCACCGAGTCGTCTGGCAAGGCTGCGGGCACCGAGTCGTCTGGCAAGACTGCGGGCACCGAGTCGTCTGGCAAGACTGCGGGTACCGAGTCGTCTGGCAAGACTGCGGGCACCGAGTCGTCTGGCAAGACTGCGGGCACCGAGTCGACTGCGGAACAGCGGGCACCGAGTCGTCTGGCAAGACAGTGGGCTCCGAGTCAACAGGCACGACAGTGGGCACCGGGTCATCAGGTATCGGATTTTCTGGCTCGACAGCGGGCATCGGGTCACCAGGTATGACAGCGGGCACTGGGTCACCAGGCATCAGGTCATTTGGCTTGCCAGCGGGCACCGCGTCATCTGGCAAGGCAGTGGGCACCGGGTCACCAGGTATGACAGCGGGCTCTGAGTCAATTGGCACGACAGCGGGCACTGGATCAGGTACCGGATCATCTGGATCAACAGCGGGCATCGAGTCAACTGGCCTATTAGGATCGTCGGGCAGGATCAGTTCATCATGCTGAGTAGCGGCATCAGGCTGAGGAGAGGCATCAGCTGAGTAGAGGCTTCAGGCTGAAGAGAGGCATCCGGCTGAAGAGAGGCATCCGGCTGAAGAGAGGCATCAGGCTGAGGAGAGGCATCAGGCTGAGGAGAGGCTTCAGGCTGAAGAGAGGCATCCGGCTGAAGAGAGGCATCCGGCTGAAGAGAGGCATCCGGCTGAAGAGAGGCATCCGGCTGAGTAGAGGCTTCAGGCTGAGTCACGGAAGGCAGGTTCACCGGTTTGGATACTGGCAGGATGGTATTGGTTGGAAAGAATTTTCGCTTTTTTCTGGTTTTAACTACTGGAGCACTGCAAGTAAACGCAGGTCTGCAAACGAATGGAGCAGCTGGAGACAGAGAAAAGCTGGAGGATGGAACAGGAGAGGGAGCAGTTGCTACAGAGGGCTTTTTTACAGGGTTAAAGGCAGGATAGGTGCAGCGAGTGGGAACAGGGGACTGACATGCGGTAGATAGCCAAGTATACTGGGCTGTAACTGGAGGAGCTGGTGGGAATACAGGAGTAGAGTTAGAAGCAGGACTGGGTTTTTGTAAGCTGACTGAGGCTGGGTGCAACAAGTCTGTCCATGTCTGCAGTATGGGTTGAACAAAGCTGAGCTTACACAAAGCCTGTCTGGTCAATGACTGCACTGCGTTTATACAATTTCTTAGTGTCTGTGGTGAACATGTGGAATAACGCTCCAGAAAGTAACCCACATCATCCTCTAATAACCACACCAGGGACTCAACCTGGTCTGCACTAAATGGTGGCAAAAATTCATCCCTGCATTCGGGGGAACCAGATGAAACCAACTCAACACAAACCTGAATCAATGGCTGCACCATAGAGAAATCTGTGCCCTGATCTACTAGAACATGAGCGAGCCGTATACATTCTAGCAGTTCATCCCGGGGATACTCCTTCAGAGTCTGATAAGCATACTCCCTGTCATCAAACACTAGCAGAGATAAATACTCAACCTCATCCAGATCCATCCTTCCCATCAACAAGCCAAGATGGCTTCCCTGTGCAGCCACTTCTGGTCAGGATTGGCCTTGGTGTAATGTCAGGGCTCCCAGGTGTGACCAGAGATGTGTGACTGACGCAGGGAAACGCAGACCTCAGATATGTTATAAACAATATAATTTATTAACACTAACAATACAAACATAAATGCAGTGCAATACTAAAACATAATACAGTGCAAACAAACCAAACCAAACCACCCACAGATAACAGTACATACAAGCAAGCGTCGTCAGGCAGGCCGGGTCAATATCAATAGGGCAGGTAGGTACAGGGGGAGCAAGCGGAGATTGGTCAGGGTCACAAGCCAGGGATCAGAACAGGTAGCAAGCAGCGTGGTACAGAGGGTCAGACAGAGGGATGGTCAGGAGCGAGCCGGGATCAGAGCAGGAGAAGTCAGCAGCGGTTCAGAAACAGGATGCAGGACAGAAACAGGATACAGGGCCCAGGACAAACACACACCAAGGCAGAGTCTGTGGGTCTGGCCATCCCTTAAATACCCCAGCATAATCAGTTACAGGGTGTTAGCTGGCTGCAAAGTTGAGTCTCTGATTGCTGGGAACACCCGCTGGCCAGCCCTGGTACTGCAGATCAAAAGGCAGGCGAGTCCCACCATAGCTGGCCAGTCCATTCCTGACAGAGACAGACAGCATCGGCTGGTCCAGTAGACTTCAACAAAATGACAGAAGTCTACACACAGATACTGACTTCTTGTTACCTAGAATTAGGTAAACATTTGGGGCATGGAAGTATAACTGAATAGAAGGGCTTTCACCTTGCAGTGATGTTTTCCCACAGCAAAGTGCAGGTAGCAGTGGTGCACTGGAAAGATGGAGACATCCATGTAAGCATCCTTGATGTCCATAGAGACAAGAATGTTTCCCTGGTGGAGGAGACTATGACAGACCTGGTGGGTTCTATGCAAATTATTGGAAGCAAATTGGAAGTAAAAACCTTAACATCTTTGTCCAAGATATTTGGCAGAACAACATGAAGGTCTGCTAGCCCATGAGGAGACACAGGAAGGTTGGACAACATGAAGTGGGATGTAAAGAACAAAACTCTCTCTTGTAACTCCTGGTTACACCTTTTACCCCACCATTGGAAATGCTTACTAACTGCAAAGACCTACAGGCATCCCCCAGGTTTGGAAAGACCCTAAAATGCATAAAGTGTAGTAGAAGGAGAGACTTGCAAATGCAGAAAATGTGTAGAGGATGCCATGGTTCTGAGGAAATAGATGCTGAATATACACTGCCCCCAGCCATTTCCAAATGCAGCAGGAGTGAGGGATCAAAAAAGGATACTTGGTATGCCTGTTTTATGTGATTGCATTATATTTAGTCTTTTAATGTTTTTTTTAAAAATTCTACGTTCTAACGATGTGCTGTGCAATATTTTATTATAGCTTGTAATAATAGGAGCTTTCCATTCTATGATCACACAAAACTGCAAGGTTAAAGGAAGACATCTTTGAATTAATAAAAACAAATTCTGCTTTGATTCCCTGGTTTCGTCTTCCCTGCGCAATATTGTTTCAGCTGCATTTTTTTCATTGTTGCTATACTGCGGTAATTATGTAATTGTGGTGAGTATAGATAATTAGATCACATGGAGTTGTTTGTGTTTTTATTCTAGCTTTAACCCAGTTTTCTCTGAATTAGTTATGATTCTGTATCCCATAATGAATAACAAATAAATCACTTTTTGAGTAAGCTGACCTTTTAATTATGTTGTAACTATACAAGGAAACTGGCGATCACCTTTCTAATTGTGTGCTTTTTTCTTGGAACTGCGCTGTAGTTAGGTATGAGGGTAACCAAAAATGTTGTAAGCTATTTGTACATTTGTCTACTTCTAAAATCTTATTCCCTCTTCAATTTTTGTCCAAGGGGCCTTGCTGAGGTCTGTTTTGGCACCTAAAGAGTGTCCTTAGAATTGTATAGTAAGTTTAATATCCATTGACACATTTAGACAAGTGGATGTGTCCTTTAAGAATATCTCAACAGCACACATTTATCAGATTAAATGCTTGCTATAACTTTAGATTTACTAGGGAAATCCATGGCAATTTGCAGAAAAGCATGCAATTTCCAATGACCCATTCCTGAAACACGCTTTTTCCCAGTAATAGACCAAGAAATCCCCACTTTATTACGATATCTCAATGAAATTAGGTTTTATCCGATATGGATATATAAGGTTCCGCATCGTGGGGCATTACTTTGCTTTCACCTTTAAAATGCATCAATAAATCTTCCTGGTCTTATGTGGTATAAATCTCTTCGGCTCACAGATTTCTATCTCACATAAGAAATAGAATAACATGTTTCTTAAATGTGGTTGCAGTGCAGCCTTAAGGAAATATGAAACGTGCAATGTGTGCCAAGCTTCTATTTCTGCAGGAACATATTGAATGGCTCAATTAATCATTGACATCAAATGCCAATTTATTCACATGACAACTTGTGGCCTAATTGTTAAAGCAAAAAACAGCAGAATCAATGACTGAAGTAAATGCTTGACATGCACCTCTAGGATTTTTTGTATACATTCCATTATACATTCTAAATAAATGATTTTTATTTGTACTTGTTCCACACTTCTAACTTCTTTAAAATAGGCCTTTTTTTGTTAAACTTACAATGTTCAGGTTGCAGGGAGGGGCATTCAAGTCGAACTGGGAATTTTGAGTTTATATAATAAAAAGAACAAATTTCAAGGAATGGAAACTGCATTCATTTTTTGACCTACTCCCCAGCTATGTTTATACATTTATCTCAGCATATAACTAAGATTTGTCAATACGCCTGGGATGCCATCCCTGAAGAAGCCCAAATCTATTGGGCAAAACATGTCAGTCTATATCATCACAGTAGTGACGTACGTGACGTCACCATACATGGCAGCTGCTTGGCCTGGCATCTCTCTACCATGCATTGCATTTCAAGCTCTCTGCATCATTGAGACATCCATTACGGGGCACTAGATGGCCAGTCATGGCAGCAGACAACACACCCCACACTGTCAACTGGTGGATCACGGACTACTGCAGCAATCCTGCTTGCTTTTTCAGGCATACAATATAGGTTGGGTGAGTTGCTGTTTGGATCCCACAGTGGACTATTATGATACCAGGCTTTAAGGCATATGGTACTCTGAGTAATCCACACGCCTTTACTGCCACAGCTGGTAACTTCCTTTTGGGTTTCTCTTAGCCCTTAATTTCTTACAGTTTTATGCATATTGGGTTACTTGGACCACACCTATGTATAATATGGTGAGTCGGTGTTAGAGAGGTTGATAGTATTTTTTTTTATTTTTTTGTCTTTTTTTTTCCATTCTTTGAGAGTTGAACTAGTGTAGTCGTTGGTGGTTTTTATCCATTTTGAGCTTCCAAACACCTTTAAGGCTGATGACCTTGAAAAGATACATTGTCACATTGTCCTTTCAAGCAGCAGCTGTGGAGCATTGGTAAGATGAGTAGGGGGTTGGGGAGGGGCCCTTTGCAGAGAATTTCACTTTTCCTGCATGGGCAAGGTAAGAAGGTCTCCTTAATCATCCCTGATGATCCAACCAGCAAACAAACTTCCTTTCTTAAGGTGACAACACTTACTCATTTCAGCTGTAGTGTTGTTATTCTTCCAAGTTGGACCACAAGCAACTGTATTAACACACAATGAGTTGGTACATTCTTTTATACAGTAGTCACCACAGTAAAAATGTGGTTATATTATACCAAATTTTAAAAAAATGGTGAAACACAGATATCACCAAAGGTGTATCTCCATAAATATACTAATATCTATTACTAACCTATAGCTATTACTGTACAAAATGTCCGTAAAATAATTAAGCCACAGCAAAAAAAAAAATTACACTCACCCCCACCCTATATAAATATAACATGACAGATAATGTTGTCAACTATCCCCTTAGCAACGACAATCCTCCCCACTATCAAGCAATGCGTACTGGAAACCAAATCGAAAAGATGTAGACAATTGTCTATAAAGATGATAACCTAAATGAATGCAACATCCATAAAAGATGTCAGATGAATGAGGAAAATGCTAAGGAAAGCGATACTAAAGCTAAGCTAACCCTGCCCCAAATGGGGGGATGGCGAATCAATATATTGATGTTGCAGTAAAAACATATTCACCT